TTACATTTATATCATATCTGTACTAGTAATCTTACATTTATATCATATCTGTACTCGTAATATTACATTTATATCATAGCTGTACTCGTAATCTTACATTTATATCATATCTGTACTCGTAATATTACATTTATATCATATCTGTACTAGTAATCTTACATGTATATCATATCTGTACTAATAATCTTACAGTTATATCATATCTGTACTAGTTATCTTACATTTATATCAAATCTGTACTAGTTATCTTACATTTATATCATATCTGTACTCGTAATCAACTTCAACAATCTCGTTTACACTCTCCCCGTCTGAGAGCTCTAGGTCCAGATCATAAACATACTCCACGGGGGGACACTTGGCAGCTTCCTGGAATAATATTCTTTTTTTTGTAAATTTAACGTTTTAAAATGATAAAAAAACGGTTAAAACTCCGAAACTGTTTTAATGATCTACCTGGAGCATGAATCCAATCCCAACCATGAGATCTATGTAAGTTCCGGACTCCTAAATCGTATAAAGAAATTGATTCATTCACATTTCAATACATTTGTAACTTTATAGTGTAAACCTTTGATTTTTTAAACTTTGATTATAAGATTTAACAGAATACATATTATATCTTATTAATTTGTGTGAGAATTATGTATTTGCAGTTCAAAGATATGAGCAAAGGTTTCAGAGAGCAAAAATGTTGTATCGTAAATCTGTGATGCCAGTGCTCAAACACCTATACGGTTCAATCTTAAACGTTGGATAATGGATACATATTTTCTTTTTGTCACAGGCTAAACTTATTCATCGATGCCAAGGTCGAATTTAGTCTATTCTATTCAAGCTAAGTTATCTCTGGGATATAAGTACAGTTTCCTCTAAACTCTAGGTATACCTGGAGATTATCCTCAATACTCTAGATATACCTGGAGATTATTCTTAATACTCTAGATATACCTGAATATTATCCTCAATACTCTAGATATACCTGGAGATTATCCTCAATACTCTAGATATACCTGGAGATTCTCCTCAATACTTTAGATATACCTGGAGATTATCCTCAATACTTTAGATACACCTGGAGATTCTCCTTAATACTCTAGATATACCTGGAGATTATCCTCAATATTCTAGATATACCTGGAGATTATCCTCAATACTTTAGATACACCTGGAGATTCTCCTTAATACTCTAGATATACCTGGAGATTATCCTCAATATTCTAGATATACCTGGATATTATCCTCAATATTCTAGATATACCTGGAGATTATTCTCAATACTCTAGATATACCTGGAGATTCTCCTCAATACTTTAGATATACCTGGAGATTATCCTCAATACTTTAGATACACCTAGAGATTCTCCTTAATACTCTAGATAAACCTGGAGATTCTCCTCAATACTGTAGAAATACCTGGAGAGTCTCCTCTATACTCTAGATATACCTTGAGATTCTCCTCAATACTCTAGATATACCTGGAGATTCTCTTTAATACTCTACATATACCTGGAGATTCTCTTCAACCCATCCCCCTGGGACTACAGCAAGATGATTAGTATTGTTCTCAGGTACCACACCCCAGGTAAAAAGAGCGGACACGCCCAACATATTCTGTAATCTGGAAAAAAATCATATATATCATTTATATTGCCATTTTTTTGTATTCTTTGATGAAAAATTCCTTGGAACATTTCTCAAAAGTACAAACGACGGTGATATCAAGTTTAAACGTTGCAATGAGAATCTATCCATTAAAGTCACGAGAAAACGTATTTGAAAAAAACTTCAATATAAAAAAACGAGAAAAAAATGTAATCCATTGAAGTCCTTTTAAAAAAGACCAATTTTTCTTTCGTTTACATTTTTTTAGGAAATCACAATGAAATCAGGTTTAATGGCAGGAAAAATAACCATAAAAGAAGCACACAAATTTTGAAAACAGAGTTACGGATATAATAGAAAAAATTATAATACAGTGAGATCCATCAAACTGTGGAAGGAAGACGACTGTTAGACTCAAGTTATGACTTTAAATAATCCAAAGAACATGAAGTTAAGCAAATGTGCTCTTGATAAAACCTTATTAAGTTGGTTTTCAAGAAAATTTGCTTTATTTGCATCAAATTCTCATATATTGTTTAAATATCTTCTTCCTATTCCACAGTTTTATAGGTTTCACTGTATTTTTTGAGTAAATTATAGAACAGCACGAACAGGGGTAATGTTGTTTTAAGCCAACCAAAACATATTTTTATTCAAGTAAGTATTATTTAACTTTTGAAGTGAATTGTGCTGTGACAAAATCTTTGGAGAAAAAGTGTAATCATGTCTTATTTTCTGTTAAATAGATTACAGTTCACAGTTCGATGTTGCTTTTGATTTTACGTTGCTGAAAGTTACCCTCTAGGCAAAGATGGCAATGCTCGATTCAAAACGGTTCCCTTGAAAACTGGTTTTGTTTATTTAAAGTGTTGATTTTTATTTGGAATTTCTTGCTAACAAGAAACAATGGAGAAATGATCAGAATTAAACACTTTTCGAGTCAGGAAAACGAAGATATTTTCCACATCATTGATCCGATTAAGGTTTAAGGGAATTGCTATCTTTGCTTGGCCGGAGGGTCACTAGGGAAATATCTTCAGTTCCTCTAAAATCAGGATTTTTTACAAATAGTTTGTATTTGATGTTTCCGAACCAAGCCAGTAATTTGATAACATGGGAACTTTAGAAATGACAATTTGTTAAAAAAGAAATTACTTTGAATTTTCTAAAAAATAAAATTGTTTAATTCTAACCTGAATATTCTTTCCTTGATATCCATAGAGACATTATAGTCGCCTGATACATTCCACCCCCCAACAAACTGTATAACTGTCTAGAATAGGTTTAAACTGTATAACTGTCTAGAATAGGTTTAAACTGTATAACTGTCTAGAATAGGTTTAAATTGTACAACTGTCTAGAATAGGTTTAAATTGTACAACTGTCTAGAATAGGTTTAAACTGTACAACTGTCTAGAATAGGTTTAAACTGTACAACTGTCTAGAATAGGTTTAAACTGTATAACTGTCTAGAATAGGTTTAGACTGTATAACTATCTAGAATAGGTTTAAACTGTACAACTGTCTAGAATAGGTTTAAACTGTATAACTATCTAGAATAGGTTTAAACTGTATAACTGTCTAGAATAGGTTTAAACTGTACAACTGTCTAGAATAGGTTTAAACTGTATAACTATCTAGAATAGGTTTAAACTGTATAACTTTCTAGAATAGGTTTAAACTGTATAACTGTCTAGAATAGATTTAAACTGTACAACTGTCTAGAACAGGTTTAAACTGTATAACTGCCTAGAATAGGTTTAAACTGTATAACTATCTAGAATAGGTTAACTTAATAACTTTTCCTCCCAAGGATTAATCTATTTATCACTGGTCAGAATCTAATGATATTATCCCAAAGGTTAGACGGACCGTATTAAAGGCCTGATCAACTAGAACAAATTAAGATAATATTAAAAGTTGTATTTTTTCTATATAATGGCCGCAACGAGAAATGAAATCTTATTTAATAAGGGATGTGCTGGGATGTGCTGGGATGTGTTCTGATGTGCTGGAATGTGCTGGGATGTACTAGGATGTTCTAGGATGTGTTAGAATGTGCTAAGATTGTGCTGGGATGTGCTGGGATGTGCTGGGATGTGCTGGGATGTGCTGGGATGTGCTTGGATGCCCTTGATTGTGCTGGGATGTGCTTGGATGTCCTGGATTGTGCTGGGATGTGCTGGGATGTCCTTGAATGTGCTTGGATGTCCTGGATTGTGCTGGGATGTGCTTGAATGTGCTTGAATGTGCTGGGATGTGCTGGGATGGATGTGCTGGGATGTGCTGGGATGTGCTGGGATGTGCTGGGATGTGCTGGGATGTGCTGGGATGTGCTGGGATATGCTTGAATGTGCTTGGATGTCCTGGATTGTGCTGGGATGTGCTGGGATATGCTTGAATGTGCTTGGATATCCTGGATTGTGCTGGGATGTGCTGGGATGTGCTGGGATGTGCTTGAATGTGCTGTAAATTGTGCTGGGATGTGCTGGGATGTACTGGGATGTGCTGTGATGGGCTGGGATTTGCTGGGATGAATACTAGAAATTCTAAACAATATGTAAACTGTCTGAAGAGAATTGAGTTCTACTTCTTGTATGTTTACAAGAGCTAACAATAGAATATATATCTTTTGTTCAACTCTAATTTGTAATTGTATTCTTACTTTACTCCTCCTTGATCTACCAAATGTATTCTTACTTTACTTCTTCTTAATCTTCCAAATTATATTCTTACTTTACTACTTCATGATTTTCCAAATTATATTCTTACTTTACTCCTTCATTATTTTCCAAATTATATTCTTACTTTACTCCTTCATGATCTTTCAAATTATATTCTTACTTTACTCCTTCATGATCTTTCAAATTGTATTCTTACTTTACTACTTCTTGATCTACCAAATTGTATTCTTACTTTACTCCTTCATGATCTTCCAAATTGTATTCTTACTTTCCTCCTTCATGATCTTTCAAATTGTATTCTTACTTTACTTCTTCATGATCTTTCAAATTGTATTCTTACTTTACTACTTCTTGATCTACCAAATTGTATTCTTACTTTACTACTTCTTGATCTACCAAATTGTATTTTTACTTTACTCCTTCTTGATCTTGTATTCTTACTTCTTGTATTCTTAAAACAAATATTTGTACTCTATAGCAAAATTAACCCAGATTAACCAAAACATGAAGTGTGCATGGTTCTAGTTTGGTAAATTTTCCACATAAAAATCTCACTTCGTCTCCACGCCGCGCATACTGTGTATTGAGGGAATCAAAGTTAACTTATGAGTTTTGCACTGTATTTCCTCAGCCCAAAATTGAACTTCCTCAGAAGCCTTTCTAATTTTTTATAAAAGAAGTCCAGCCTCCTTATGGGATATTTTATCTCTATATTAGGAAGTTCAGTTTGTGTGTTTACAGTACACAATGTACTGCTGGAAGTATGCTGCTTAACATTCGTTAAAAGAATGCAAAAGTTCAGTTCTCAGGTAGTTTACTTTCTGAGAAACACTGAGATATTGACAATTCTACAATTTGGTCATCAAATTTATCTAGATAACCAGAACCTTGGTCTTTTATAAAACCATCTCACAAGGAGGAGAAACTGCATTTTAAAATCAGAAACACTCGGGCCGAGGAAAAACTGTGCGAGTACTACCTGTAAATTATTAAGATCCTCGGCAATAACACCTTGCCTATCTTGAATACAGGATCTGGAAAACGTTCACATTTTCAATCAAAAATAATAATTTTTTAAAACTTAGCTTAGAATATTCAAAATATCAATATGTTGGATTGTTAAATGTTCATTTTCCATCATAAATATTTATTTTATCTTAAAGTGAATTGAATTTGAAGTCATATTCTTCGTCCGATTCATAATGGTATCCTTCCAACCTTTGTCTCATGAAGAATGAATGATATAAACTTATTTTTCTCTAAAAATTGATTATTTTCATAATTTTTTGTGGTTTTTCTGCAAAAGTGACTGGTGGTTTTATGCTGCAGAGATAAGCAAAGAAATGTTCAGGTTTAAAAGGGTACCGTCGTGAATCTGACATGACTAATACGGGTTAAACATGTCAAGTTTTCCTATAGAAAGTTTTCGCTTTTTCTTCAGCAACTGATACATTTTCCTAAAAAAAGAAAATTTTATTATTCTTTTGGAAATATCTCACAGTTTTTGCATGAAAATGTTTCTACTGTTTGATAAAGTTGAAACCAAAATCAGAATTAAGATTATTTTTTACCTTTTGTTATTTTAATTCACATAGTATAAAAGTTATTAAGTTGTAGAAAGCTAAAAGGATAACATGTACTCAAATGTTTTTATTTTGTATGAAGAAAAGAATCCTTTTTTACAATTTTATTCTGACAGCTTTGCATAAATCCGAAATTGCATACCTATTTTCTTGACACTGCAATCTTAAAGGGAGTGTTCGCGAAAAATGAAAAAGGGTATAGGCTTACGGCAATAAATAATCGCTTTTGATCGCTTGCGTCTTCAATGAGAAAATTGTTAAAAAGGCTCATACCGAAGAACGTAAATTCCTTACAAAATCAGAAAGTTGCAACATACGACTCGGATCGTAACAAAATCAATTTAATTCCAAACAAAGCATTCAGATATTACAACTTATAGTCATCGATTATTTTTCGACGCATTCGTATATAATTAATGTTTCATAATATTTGTTACTTTCTATGAGCCGAGAGTGACTTTTGAAAACACTCATTCCTGATTCGAGGATTTTGATAATGAAGACGACATTTTCCATATTTTCCGGGAATGCGCCAGTCGTGAAAACAAGTTGTAAGCGAAATATTAATTTTAAAAAACACAAAATAAAAAATATTATGAAATATCAACTATATACAAATGCGTCGAAAAATAATCGATGACTATAGGATTTAATATCTAAATTATTTGTTTGATATTGATTTGATTTTTTTACGATCCAAGTCGTATGTTCCAACTTCCTCAATTTGTATAAACGCTTCGTTCTTCGGTATGAGACGTTTTAAACAATTTTCTCCATATAGACGCAACAGATAAAAGTAAGATTAGTAGCGATCAGAAGCGATTATTCATCGCCGGAAGCCTATACCCCCTTTTATTTTTCGCGAACACTCCCTTTAAAGATAAAATATTTCAAATCTTATTTATCGAGTAAACATGTATTTCAATTTCTTCCGATCTAGGATGTAAGAATGTAAAGTTCTCTCTTGGCTGAAGTTCTAAAAGTCCAATTTTAATTTTAAGAAAGGTTTAAACTGTCAAAATGAAAATGTTTTCCCGACAACATTCAGCTTTTTTTAGTTTTAGATAAATTCCAGAAACATTTCCTTTTTCCAATTCTTTCCTTTTATGTTTATAGACGAGATGAAATTTTAAGGTTTGATAAAATATTCCGACCGAAACAATTCGGAGCTTTTAGATGAGATATGTACTGTGCTAGCAGCTTTAGGAAATGTAAATTTAAATTCTTCAGCAAATTGCACAGATATGAATATAAGTATCCAGGTTAGCATAGACACTGAATAACAGGGATATTAGTCTGGTTGATTAACAAGTATAATAGTCTGGTTGAATAACAAGAATACTAGTCTGGTTGAATAAAATGTATATTAATCTGGTTGAATAACAAGCATATTGGTCTGGTTAAATGACAAGTATATTAGTCTGGTTGAATAACAAGTATATTCGTCTGGTTGCAATAACAAGTATATTAGTCTGTTTGAACAACAAGTATATTAGTCTGGTTGAATAACAGGTATATTAGTCTGGTTGAATAACAGGTATATTAGTCTGGTTGCAATAACAAGGATATTAGTCTGGTTAATTGACAAGTATATTAGTCTGGTTGATTAACAAGAATATTTGTCTTTTTGAATAACATGCATATTGGTCTGGTTAAATGACAAGTATATTAGGTTGGTTGAATAACATTTATATTAGTCTGGTTGCAATAACAAGTATATTAGTCTGGTTGAACAACAAGTATATTAGTCTGGTTGAATAACAGGTATATTAGTCTTGTTGCAATAACAAGGGTATTAGTCTGGTTAAATAGCAAGGATATTAGTCTGGTTGAACCCTGCAGTGACTAACCTGTTTATCCTGTGTAAGTATAGAATGTAGAATATTCTGGTTCCTCCTGTCTATCGCCTGAAATTACAAATTCTCTTCAGAAAAAGAATGAAAGAGAATTTTCATAAGTTGATATTTAGAAATTCTTATTCATATACATATTTTTGCATAGTATTAGAAATATTAGGAATGGAGAGGGCACACATTTTCAAAAGACGAAATGTTTACCACCTTTCCAATATTTAAATCCATCTCTTAATGGGACTATAGACAAATTTTAAGTTTTAAAAGAATTGTATGTTTTATAACGGTGCCCTTTAAATTGTTTCAGGTCAAAAATATTTCTTTTTTCCAGCTGTATTTTTGATATCTTTTTCGATAATGGTTTCTTTATAAAGTATGTAACTTATGGTTTCTTTATAAAGTATGTAACTTAGGGTTTCTTTATAAAGTATGTAACTTATGGTTTCTTTATAAAGTATGTAACTTATGGTTTCTTTATAAAGATTGTAACTAATGGTTTCTTTATAAAGTATGTAACTTATGGTTTCTTTATAAAGATTGTAACTAATGGTTTCTTTATAAAGTATGTAACTTGCGAGTTTAAGCTACAGGGAAATAGTCTAAACACTGTTTTAGATCGAAAAACGAAAATTTCTTCCATATTCTTACTCACATAAACGTTAAGATGATGTATATATTTGCTTAAATTTAATTCAAAAGTCTCTTTAAAGATAAAATGTAGAAAAGAATTTTTCCCGCAACGTTGTGATTCTGTCAGACACTGTGAAAATATATTTATTTTCTAGTTTACTCAGAATACATGATTTATAAAATTGAAAGATTGATTCCGAATGCTAAAGGAGTTAAAGTCAAAATATTCAATTCCTAGAATCTTCAAATCCAGATTTTCATGCTTTTCACAGAATATTATACTAACACAAGCAGAACACAAGGATGGAGCTAGAATATTATACTAACACAAGCAGAACACAAGGATGGAGCTAGAATATTATACTAACACAAGCAGATCACAAGGATGGAGCTAGAATATTATACTAACACAAGCAGGACACAAGGATGGAGCTAGAATATTATACTAACACAAGCAGAACACAAGGATGGAGCTAGAATATTATACTAACACAAGCAGAACACAAGGATGGAGCTAGAATATTATACTAGCACAAGCAGAACACAAGGATGGAGCTAGAATATTATACTAACACAAGCAGATCACAAGGATGGAGCTAGAATAATATATTAACACAAGCAGAACAGAAGGATGGAGCTAGAATTTTATACTAACACAAGGAGATCACAAGGATAGAGCTAGAATATTATACTAACACAAGCAGAACACAAGGATGGAGCTAAAATATTATACTGACACAAGCAGAACACAGGGATGGAGCTAGAATATTATATTAACACAAGCAGAACACAAGGATGGAGCTAGGATATTATACTAACACAAGCAGAACACAGGGATGGAGCTAGAAAATTATACTAACACAAGAATGGAGCTAGAATATTATACTAACACAAGCAGAACACAAGGATGGAGCTAGGATATTATACTAACACAAGCAGAACACAGGGATGGAGCTAGAATATTATACTAAAACAAGCAGAACACAAGGATGGAGCTAGAAAGGTTTATTCCATCAAATCAAATTATAAAGTTGTGATCTAATAAAAGGAACTGCTGTTGTAATTTCTATCGACCCTCCCTTTAAAGAGCGGAATGCCTGATTCACAACTGTACACTTAAATCTTTATCTGATCAACATGAAAGATAGTGTCGTTTTTCTCCTTTGAAAAGAGGTTTATTTTTACAATTCTTCCATTGTTCCTGTAGCGAGAAATCCGCAAGTCACTTGTATAGAAGACAATGGTTGAAAATAATCAATTTTATAAAAAAAAACTTTAGAGATCTCTTTTATTCTTTATCAGACAAAGCTTTAAAGTGACTGTTTGGAATCGGCCTTGCCACTCTTGAAATGGAAGGTCTACTTTGCTCTTTCTAACACTTGGAAAGAAACAGTCAAAGTTACGGATAGTTAACACAGAACCAGGTTATTAAGGTTATGAACTAAACACAAATAATTTAGAGAAAAAGAGTTTTAATTCCTAATACATCTGCAGATTCCCCCGGTTTTGGCGAAAGACAAGTATAAGTGAATAAAATGTGGTCCTGAAAAGAAAGATATTAATCTAAAATATCTAAAGTTTGAAATATATTAATGTCGGGTAGAGGGAAGGAATCTATTGACCGAATAGTAATGAATCAACATTAGATCCTTCTACACTTAATACTTTATCCAGGCTTTACATTAGCATCAGAGAACAAATATTGGAAGAAACCTTGAAACTAGATAAGTTAAAGGAAATTGGATGAAGAGTAAGGATGAAGAGTAAGGATGAAGAGTAAGGATAAAGAGTATGTATGAGGAGTAAGAATGACTAGTAAGGATGAAGAGTAAGGATGAATAGTAAGGATGAAGAATAAGGATGAAGAGTAAGGATGAAGAGTAAGGATAAAAAGTATGTATGAGGAGTAAGAATGACTAGTAAGGATAAAGAGTAAGGATGAAGAGTAAGGATGAAGAGTAAGGATGAAGAGTAAGCATGAAGAGTAAGGATAAAGAGTAAGGATGAAGAGTAAGGATGAAGAGTGTGGATGAAGAGTAAGGATGAAGAGTAAGGATGAAGAGTAAGGATGAAGAGTAAGGATGAAGAGTTAGGATGAAGAGTAAGGATAAAGAGTAAGGATACAGAGTAAGGATGAAGAGTAAGGATGAAGAGTAAGCATGAAGAGTAAGGATGAAGAGTAAGGATGAAGAGTAAGGATGAAGAGTAAGTATGAAGAGTAAGTATGAAGAGTAAGTATGAAGAGTAATTATGAATAGTAATGATGAAGAGTAAGTATGAAGAGTAAGGATGAAGAGTAAGAATGAAGAGTAATGATGAATAGTAAGGATGAAGGTAAAGGATGAGAAGTAAAGTCTAAGAGTAAGGATGAATGTAAAGGATGAGAAGTAAAGTCTAAGAGTAAGGATGAAGGTAAAGGTTGAGGAGTAAAGTCTAAGAGTAAGGATGCAGATATTTAGAGGAAGTGAATACATTTGGTATACATATATATATATATTTCCAGATGCCAAGGTTTAGAATGACATGAGAAATTATGAACATTAAAGAGAAGATTTTCCGGAGAATTATTGTTTCTATTTAATCTGGAGAGAAACAGCTTTTGCTTACGTTGGTTTTTTAAACATATTGTTTTTTTCTTTATATCTCTTGATATAAAATGTAAAAAATCTCAGCATTTGTTGATCGTAATTAAAAATCTTTTGGAAACATCAGATTTTTAAGAACTTTATTCCTTGAAAAGAAATTTGATTTTGTCTTAACAAAGATTTCTTTTTTGAATTTTAATTATTTATGCTTTCGAAAGAACCTTAAAGATCGAATTGTTCAAATTTTAATAATATCTAAGAATTTTATTTGAAATACTTTATTGTTTATATCCAGAGATTCGGCGAGAGACTCTTTGTGAAGTTTATAAAAGAGAGAAAAAACCCTGAAATTGTTAGATAAGACACACTTTCTGCTGCCTTTCGTTAATGTTTTATTGGACAACTATTTACACCTGCAGTGAGCACCAGAAAACAGAAGGAATTAATGGAATTGTCTTTAGGAAGAAATAATGGAATTATCTACAGGAGGAATTAATGGAATTGTCTACAGGAGGAACTATTGGAATTGTCTACAGGAGGAATTAATGGAATTGTCTACAGGAGGAATTAATGGAATTGTCTAGAAGATTACGAGTACCATCATAATTTTAAAATGGTATCTCAGCATCAATGATATATTTGTTTTTCTTTCTGAAAACCGTTGAGAAACCAGTTCTATTATGTATTTGACCGACCTTACCGACCTATGTTTCAGGTATTTACATCTCAAAAGACGATAAAATTATTTACAAATACTTTTTTTGGAAATCAAAATTTTTACCTAACATCCCTTGCTGCGCTCTGGATGTTTTGTAGGCAAAATTAGTCTTGGGAACTCTTGATAAAATAAAAAATTCCCTGAACTTCCCTGTAAAGTAGTTGAAAATAATTAAATTTGCCCTGTCCAATTTACATTATAGTTTATCGGTTTAAAATTAACGTTTACTATTTGAATAGTAAACAAGTTCATCCAAAACGACCAAGCTATATTACGTTTCATTCACTTCTAAAAGAGAGCTGTCGAGGGTCAACCTAGACCGAAATATATTTTCTATAAAATTTGGAATTAATATCTACTTTTTATTCTCTACAGAGGGTTGGTTCATCACCATTACCGAAATTTCAAGTTCATCGTGATAATATAGATAAATAAGAGTCTTCACCTTGGTAATCTTAAACCTGAAGTAAACTTTACAATTAAATCCTGATGTTATTTAAACTTGCTTCTCCTTACAAATATAGACATTTATGCTTCCTAGTAAAAATGTCTAATATCAAGAAATTATTTCATATTTAGATATTTTTTTTTATTGCATACTCAAAAATAATTATTAAATTTTAGAACTTGAACCTAAACCGTTTTAATCTAATGAAGAATTGTTATTACAAAATATTTAACTATGATTTATAACAAAACAAGAATTGTTTTCGAAATCATCTCCATTTTTCAGGCTTCCTGCTAAATAATACATTTAATAAGATAATTAATAAAAACCAGAATGAAAATATGATTACAGGGTGTTTCGACGTAATCCACAATAGAAATCATAAAATCCTTTTCTGGGGTAAATGATAGAGTCATCCTTTATTTCCTTTCTTAAATTTTTTTTGTGGTTCTCAATAAATGTCAACAAAGAAAATAAAGGAAATAAGGGAAGTTATGTCTATATAAGAGAGAAAAACGACTGTTTCAATACATTAAAGATTTTAAGAGTACCGTTAGAAATCAGGCATTGAGGGTCGCTTAAAGTTACGTCGACACTTAACACTCGACACTCGACAGTCCCTTCTTAATTTACCGCATGAAATGTATTAAACATGTTCTATAAGGAATTGATGGGTTGTAATTTGATGATATATGTGTATGCTTCTCATATTATATGATTAATGAGAGATCTATGTCAATACAGATTATATTTTCTAGGCTTCTACTATATGTACTGTTCAGTGTTCAGTGTTTACAGGGTAAACAAAAAATGTCTGAACTAACCAATTAATCTATAATTTTTTAATAATTTTGATTAAATTTTTTTTACTTTTTTCATTTTATTTATTTTTATTTTTTGTTTCACCTTGTTTCAAGCCATGTGGTGAAATACATATACAACATATATATAATCATATAATTAAATTCACATTTTTGTTTGCAACGTAACATTACATATATGTAACCACAAAATACATTTATGTTCTTAACTTAACTATATTGCATGCAGCATATCATAAAAACCAACTTCAGATCAAGTTTTAAGACAAAAACCCGCGAAATCTTTCAGATTCATAATCTACGATAAAAAGATGGTGGCATGGAAATCAACATTTAAAAATAAAATTACTAAAAGAAAGGAGGGATATTTTCTTGAAGTTTAGTTTTTTTATGATTTGTAATATTTGAAAACTTTGCATAAAGTTAATGACCTACAATCTACATATCTCGTCTCTATGGAAACACTGTTAAACAATTCAGGAAATCAGAGCGTGTTTTTTTTTCTAGAAATCATCAAGGGTTTTTGAGCGGATCGTTTTTCAAAATATGATTTTTTTTTCAGAACAACGACTACAGAGCAAAGAAAAATTTGAAATGTCAAATTTTTTTGCATTATTTGAAAAGCAAAATTAATGTGTTGAAATGTTTTTATCATGGGTGTTCCAGGAAGGTATTCTGAATAATCATTTTCCATTGATTTTCCGAATCAACATTTGTACTGTGGACAGGCTAGATTCAAAAATTGTTTATGAATCCAAAGAGATTTTGGCTTAGAGACACTAAATAGAAATGTAAACTGAACTTTACTGTACTGTATTATAGACTTTTAGTTCAGTAAAAAAACTAGCTGTCATAATTTGAAATTTATCTAATTATGTCAAATTAAGCTTTGTACTTTGTTTTGTTTTGCGTTCAGCGAAATAACAAAAAGTATTAAACTTTTCATAATGTTTCATGTATCTTATTTAAAAACTTAAGAAATATTTTTTTAGAAAGATTAAGAAAAAAAAAAAAAAAAAAAAAATATGAGTCTATGGTGTAGACTGTGGAAGACCTTCACGAATTTGATTATTTATAGTGCAGAAAAAGTCTGAGTTTATCTTTATTACCGTAAAGTCTGAGTTTATCTTTATTGCCGTAAAGTCTGTACACAGAGTTTAATTCAATTCTTTAAAAAAAACATGTTTAGAAGAAAAGAGATTATGTTTTTTTTATTTATCGCAACAGAATAGAGAATATGTATGGAGTGATTTTTCCTCAACAAAACGTGTAAAACCGTCATTTTCTTGTACTATTACTTAACTTATGTACCCAATAGCCTTTTGGGCCATGGAACAAAAAAACTGTTATCTTGAAAATATACATAAAAGGAAAGTTAAATTGTACACAAGCGCAATTTAAGTGTCTAAAAAAATATTTGCTATGCATTGTAAATACTTCTTAGCATTTTTTACTAAATGTATTCACTTTTTTTACACGCTTGCTGGTACAAGACTTCAACCCGATTGTTTAAAACAAGGTTTAGAACTACAATACTCTAAATACGGATCCTTTACTAGATCCAATTGTTTTTAACTACAAGACACTAATTCTGGATCATCTATTTAAACCCCTTTCTGTCTGATACTTCACAAGACTTCAGTATTTTGTAATCCAAGACATCAAATCCTGATACTTCACAAGACTTCAGTATTTTGTACTCCAAGACATCAAATCCTGGTACTTCACAAGACTTCAGTATTTTGTACTCCAAGACATCAAATCCTGGTACTTCACAAGACTTCAGTATTTTGTACTTCAAGACATCAATTCCTGGTATTTCACAAGACCTCAGTTTTTTTGAACTCCAAGACATCAAATCCTGGCACTTCACAAGACCTCAGTATTTTGTACTCCAAGACATCAAATCCTGATACTTCACATGACTTTAGTATTTTGTACTTCGAGACATCAAATCCTGGTACTTCACAAGACCTCAGTTTTTGTACTCCAAGACATCAATTCCTGGTACTTCACAAGACTTCAGTATTTTGTACTCCAAGACATCAAATCCTGGTACTTCACAAGACTTCAGTATTTTGTAATCCAAGACATAAAAACCTTATACTTCACAAGACTTCAGTATTTTGTACTCCAAGACATTAAATCCTGGTATTTCACAAGACTTCAGTATTTTGTACTCCAAGACACCAAATCCTGATACTTCACAAGATCTCAGTATTTTGTACTCCAAGACACCAAATCCTGCTTCAGTATTTTGTACTCCAAGACATTAAATCCTGGTATTTCACAAGACTTCAGTATTTTGTACTCCAAGACACCAAATCCTGATACTTCACAAGATCTCAGTATTTTGTACTCCAAGACACCAAATCCTGGAACTTCACAAGACCTCAGTATTTTGTACTTCAAGACACCAAATCCTGGAACTTCACAAGACCTCAGTTTTTTGTACTCCAAGACATCAAATCCTGGAACTTCACAAGACCTCAGTATTTTGTACTCCAATACATCAAATCCTGGAACTTTACAAGACCTCAGTATTTTGTACTTCAAGACATCAAATCCTGATATTTAATAAGGTCTCAGTTTTTTGTAATCCAAGACACCAAACATTGATCTTGTACTGGATCCCTGCAAGACCCCGGTATTTGTGCTTCAAGCAAATTCTATCTTTACGTCAGTTTTTATCTAAGATTTATAAAGTGGCTGATGCAGTTATACATCTAAACCCTGTTATATAACACTATAGTTGAATCATAAAATCATGATAAACAACGCTGAGATAACATTTTAGCTTGATCTACGAACCATGCAGTGAGACCCATGAAACTGTGGAATATGAGGACGAATGTTACACTCAAGTTATGATTTTAAATTAATGAACATAAAACACATCAATTGTGCAGTGCACACAGACCCATTTTACTAAAAAGGTAATTTACAAGCTACTGATTAAAGTTTTGAGTTGAGTTGGCAGCTCAAAACTTTATCATCAACTTAGTAAAAATTGATTTTATTGCAAATAGCAGGTTTAAAACATTTTGAAAGTGGGAAAAGAAGGATATAAAAACAAAACAATAACATATATGGTTCATACATAATTGCAGATTGTCAATTTGAAGAGAAGGTATATATTCAATCACACTTAGATATTTGTTTAAGAGGCACTTTAGAAACAGAGGTTCAATCAGAAATGAATGTACAACTACATTGACAATGGAGAATTCTTGATATGCATCGTAGTTATATCCTTTATCTATCTATATATAAATTTGGCTTGTCTGTCTGTTTTGGTGTTTGTTTGTTTGTTTGTATCCAATAAACGTCAAAACGGCTGAACCGATCGGGCTCAAGTTTTTTTTTTTGGACATCACGTGACCACAGGGAAGGTTTATGAATGATAAAAATTAAAAAAATGTGTTTTAAAGGTTTTTAATTTTGTAAAAAAAATTAAATTCTTGAAAATCCGCGAATTTTTCTCTTCTTTGTTTTAAAATGTAAACAAAAGAACATGCTCACAATTTAAATAGAGGATGGGCGCGAAGCGCCCTAAAAGCCTAGTTGAATTAATTAAGAATGGGTTTAAGACTTTATGACGGGTTTGTTCTGGAACTTGTGCAAGTTTGAACATGTAAAGATGTATTTTAGGTTTAAATCTGTTATAAATCTGTCCAAGTAAGCCCATCTAGAGTTATTACATTTATACAATGAAACTAAGCTGAAAACTATCCAACTCAGAAGAATTCGGATAACTGAACACTACTCGCCTTAAACTCTTATTTTCTTATTCCTATATATCTTTGCAATCTGATTTTGCTAAACTTGATAAACCTCTGCTACCCCCCCCCCCTATTATAGCTGATTACAGATAATCTGACCTGAAACCTATCTGAGTTATTAAAACTCCTTCTATACTTCCTCCCCCCCCACCTCTGTATTTATAATTTCTCATAATCTGACCTGAAACCTATCTGAGTTATTAAAACTCCTTCTATACTTCCTCCCCCCCCACCTCTGTATTTCTAATTTCTCATAATCTGACCTGAAACCTATCTGAGTTGCTACTACTCCCCCCCCCCCTTAGTATTTCTAATTTCTCATAATCTGACCTGAAACCTATCTGAGTTGCTACTGCTCCCCCCCCCTGTATTTCTAATTTCTCATAATCTCACCTGAAACCTATCTGGTGTTACTACTACTTCTCTGCTCCCCCTCCCCTGCCTCCGTATTTCTAATTACTAATAATCTGACCTGAAACCTATCTGAGTTACTACTGCTCCCCCCCAACCCTTCCCCTGTATTGCTAATTACTAATAATCTGACCTGAAACCTATCTGAGTTGCTACTGCTCCGCTGCTCCCAACCTCCACAAGAGAATTGATAAAAATCTTCACAAGGATCTACACTCTTATCCAGGGAGGAGAGAATAGTTCCAGCAGCCATTACACAGCTCTCACTCAAACATAGTTCTAGATAACAACAAGTTAAAGGGACTTTTGTTGTAGTTTCAAGGGAACCCTCCGTTAAGAGAGGAGTAATCACCTCCATCCTCTTCCTTAACATCTTTATTTGATCAATATTATGGAAGATATCGTCGTTTTTATAGCTTAAGGAACTCTTTTCAGTTGTCAGTTGTTTGCTGTTAGAATATTACTGAGAATGAAATCTGGAAAAAGTATCAATTAACCAGTTATTTCGGTAAAGTTTGAGAATATATTAACCTGGATTAGGACTTGACTGAGGACAGGATACTGAAGGTTCTGATGAAGAACTCCTCGGTCTCTCTGTAGATGATGAGGTTGGTGTTGTAGGATCAGATTCCATTGCGTGAGGTGGCAGTGGAACAACATTCTCAAGTTTAGCAGGTTTAGGGGTTTTCTCCGGGATAGGACTGGAGGATAATGAGTTTAAAGTTGTATCCGGAGTAAAGTTTGATGGTTTGGGAGTAGGATCTTGCAAATGTCTGGATGGAGTGTTCCTGGATAGTTGGTTGTGTATATAATGATCCTCTAACAAACAAACACACGGGGGACATTCCTGAGGTTCATTGCTGAGCTGAGGACTATACAGAGCAAACTTAGGTCGGAACTTTTAAACTGAAACTAAATTCTACAATCCTGTCATCTCCGAAGATTTGGTTTTATTTTTGTTCTTTTTTTACTTTTATAAAATGGAATGATTCTTCCTTCTCAAAGTAAAATTGAATAAAAATGAGAACGGAAGAAAAGAAATTATGCTGAATACATTTGAATAAAATCTATAGTAAACTTGTCAACTGTATTTTGAAAACTTTAAGCGTTTTAAAGTTTCTTTTTATACATCTTTATACATTTTGGATTTAAATCTATCACGTCTTAACCTTATTGACCGTTTCATATACAGATAAAGTATTAGCTTGGGAACACAACATTCCCTGGAAACTAAGATTTCCCAATAAAAATCGACCATCTCAACTTAGAATTTTCAACTTAACCAAATTCCCAACTAAAATTGTCAAGAAAATCGGCCAAGTTGTTTATGAGTTATGATTGGACATACATGCGCACAAACAAACTATTTTGAATATACAGATTAATAGTCAAATTTTGTTTGAGGATCGATCTTGGTAGAGCCACGGATATGTTCTTAGATTAGTTTGAATATTTTAAAATGAGTGAGTTGACTCTTATGAGGATTCGTCAGTTCTTTTTCCTTGTATGACTGGAATTAAGTCTTTACCACAAACTAAAATTTCTTAATCCCTTTTTATTTGCAACCTGATGGTGTAAATCTTTGATAATTTGATCGTACAAAGTGCATAGTTTGTAAATATTGGGTTGCAAAGATATTGTAATTAGATCAGAATGGGAAAGAATCTTAATTCCTTTTAAGAAATGAATTCATCCAAGTTTGTTTTCCTGGATTGAGGAGCAATATTTCTATGTATAGAGTTGTCAAGAATATCCTGATTCAAATCCGCAATAATCTGGTTTCTTCCATCTCCCATCACATCCAGCCGAACCGTCTTGTTGGAGACAACCCTGAGAGAGAGAAACCAGACCAACCACGGAGCCAGGTTCAGATTCATCCTTGTTCTCCTATCTACTCTAATCCCATCTTTAAGCTTAAGCCAACCAAATGTTGTCAAATTTGCACAATAAAATTTGAATTTGCATTTAAGCTTGACTGTTGCAATAAATTTGCATAGAACCCGGACACAGGGCAGTTTCAGGGTATAAATAATTATGGTGCTCGACCATTCAATAAGTTTCCATTGTAAATCAATCTCCCTGAGTAAAGTTTAGACAGGGACCAGGAAACTGGAGGATTAGGCAAATATACAGTGAGAACAAGAAAACTGTAGACTAGGAATACGGTAGATGGTATTGCAAGAAAGCAAATAGTTTTACTAGTAACTTAATAAGACCGCATTAAGTGAAATGGATCTGTTGGCACTACGACATTTACTAGTAACTTAATATGACCGCATTAAGTGAAATGGATCTGTTGGCACTACGACATTTACTAGTAACTTAAAATGACTGCATTAAGTGAAATAGATCTGTTGGAACCACGACATTTACTAGTAACTTAATATGACCGCATGAAGTGAAATGGATCTGTTGTCACTACGACATTTACTAGTAACTTAATATGACCGCATGAAGTGAAATGGATCTGTTGGCGCTATTTCCATTTGCTTTAGTTCCATTTGCTCTATCACATCATTTCTTCTATACGTCATTTGCTCTAAATGCCATCTGCTCATATATATGTCATTTGTGTCGTTTGATCTATAACCTATAAAGACAATATAAAATAAAATCTGCAGGAACTCTCACTGTATTTCCGCCCTCCAAAAGCAGACTTCTTCGTTGATATTTGTACATAGAAAGGAATTTTAACTTACTTGTGGAATGATTTATATCTCTATATGAAAGTATACATGCAGTAAACGATATACAACATGAAGTAGGTTGGTTAAAATTCTTATGTAAGAAATAAAATGTGGAGTTCACTAGGATCGACTTTGTAAAAATCAAACAAAGACTTTTTAGGAATTAATGAAAATCACAGTTGAAAAATCACAGTTGAAAAGCGCTGTATACGAATAAAAAATAGCTAAGAAATTTAATTCAAGACTGTTATTTAATTTACATTGTTGAATAATTGATGCCTAAATTTTATCGTATTTTTGAGTTAATTAGTTTAAATATTTTCATACTCGTCTTTTCCATTGATAAAATTTATGGAAACTATTTTAAAAAACATTGAATTTGTATCAGAAGAAATAGTAATATATTTATAATATTGTATACTCAGAAAAAGCAATACTTATAGTTGTATATCATGTTTATAGAACAGATGACGTGTTTACTCATAGAGCAAAAGTTAAAGATTAATGGGAACAAGCAGTCCTAGATATTGTTTTTAGATCATATGACGTATAGAGCAGATGGTATATAAAGCAAACGTCGTGTTCTTTGAGCTATAGAGCAAATGGAAATAGAGCAGATGTCGTAGCGCCGGATCTGTTTAACCTTTAAGATGGCTGTACCTCATGTTCATGAATTATTTAAATTCAAAACTTTTGTCTAAAAGTCGTCTTTTTTAAAACAATATAGTTTTAAATTTTAAAGTCGTCTTTCTATTTTATATATGGTTCTCACTGTAAAGAAAACATAATGTATGCAATTA